ATAACTCATTTTGTCTACTTTTTCAAGCATGCTAAGGACTTTATAGGTTGACTTTGTTCTTTTTCAAGAACATGCCATTTTCAGGGTAAGTCGATGGTTTGGTGGTGATTTTTCCGATGGACAATGTGGAATTTTTGGATGGAAAGTTTCACACAAAAGCGTCAATCTGTTGACCTCAAGAATTGGACCCTCCACGTGGCCAACGGATAGTTACTCCACATAATCCTCCCTGCACACAACAACACATCAAAAGCACAGGGTTGGAACCAGCGGTGGTGGTGGAGACCGCATACACTCCAACGGTCAAGCCAGCGTTGGGTGATCGGAACAATGCTCAAGTTATGCAAGAGAGTGGGGAGGAGAATATATATTTCTTAGTATGGAGAGCTAAGTTATAAGAGTTTCATTACCTTTGTCTCTTGCCAAACCTTTAGGATTTATAGACGTGGGGGCACCATTGGATGTGGGACACGTGTATACATCTGACGGTGTGAAGCGTCCGTTCATAGTCAATCAGCCGCGTCTAGAGTGGGTGGGCAATTAGTTTTTCTAAGTTAAGTTGACATAAAGTCAATATGTCATATCAACTAGATTTATGGAGACGTCATATCAATTGATCCTTGGAGGTAGAGGAGATCCTAACAGATATCTTTCCGACAGTGGTGGAGGAGAGATCTACCAAGAGGGTACTTCGGAGTGCCCAACGCTTCGGAGTTGAGGGACACTTTGGTTATTTCAGTGGATCTACTCTTCACCTTGCAGCGTGTCATATTGAGGTCATCCCACTTCGGATGGATACATGTCACTTTGAAGAGTGGTGTAACTGTTTCACACATCGGATGGGTACCTGACACTTGAGAGAGTGGTATGACCTTTGTTCCGAAGTGATTAGATCAGGAATGTGACATAAACTATACTTAAAAGTAATTGATATGATGTGTATATTAGATTGGTGTTGCATATCTAAAGATAAACATGTCTAACTAGAGTTAGGAGTGGCATTGGGTCAGGCGGCCCTATGACTAGCCAGTTACGATTCATCACTTCATGACAAAGCAATCTCTTCTACGGCAAAACATACTTAGAATGTCTCATGTTTGACTTTTTAGGTACTAACTGATTTAGTCAAATCAAAACAAGAAGAAGGACCTCTTAGTTCACTACATCCTCCAATCTTACGATTCTTTTGTGCCCTAGCGTGACATAGTGTAGCCCCTTGCTTGAGACGTCATATTGGCTAGCAGCATGTTCGCCGTAATCTTTATCAAGCCCCCGTTTGGCCCCCATTAAATCTCATCAAATTAAATTAAATTTTTATTTCTCTTATTTTCAAATACACAATTTTCGATAAAATAATATTACATGTAAATCGAAAATTTTTCATTCTTTTACAACCATCTATTTTTCAAAAAAGCACTATTGCCCCATTATAATAAAAAATAATGGAGGCCAAAAATGTTCATTGCAAGACCTATGTTTGGGGAACTTCTAAATACTCTTGGTTTATATATTTTAAGTGGAAAATCTATAAAGATAGATTTCTAAGACGACGGACAACAAAGAATTGTACAAGCAATTCATTGAAGTGGTACTTTATTTGTTAAATAATTAGTATCGATAAATCTTCGAACATTAATAACGATGGACCGACATGGGGTGTCCTCTTCTCTATTCATCAATTTTCAAAAATTCAAAATGATGAATGGACATGGACTCATCTCAACATTTAAGTAAAGAATGGTATAATTCGATTTCCTTTACTCCATTCATTTAACTATGAAATATTATAAAATTTGCCTATATAAAGTTGGTACATTAATATCAATACGCTATTTGATGTTTATATGACGAATAATCACAAATAAAAATACTAATATAATCAATTGAACTACTAGACTTGACTGGGAACTTTGTGTAAATAATTTGGACCATTTTCGTATTCCTTGTAACAACATGTTCACTTCTCATTAATGATTACAATTTTATTACTTCACAAAGCCTCTTCCTTTATAAATAAATCCATCCATCTCATGTTAAAACTATAATGCATTTATAAAACCACCTAATCAATTCAACTTTTCAAACCTAAAAAAAAGAAAAAAAAATACGTTGAACTCACTTTTTTTTTATTTTTAGATAGAGTTTTAATGAAGGTACACATCTCTCACACATATTTGGGTAACAATCAAACATTCAAAGTAAGAATTTGGGTAAAAACTAATATTTTCCATAAAAAATAAATGTAATGACACCCACCTAAATTATTAACCTTTTCCAGACGGGGGATTGTGTGAGAGCAATTCCTAGTATTTTAGTCTAAGGAATCTTCAGAGGTGATGTAAGTTCAGAAAAACCTCCAGGATTGATGAACCTATTTTATCAAGTTACTCATTTTCTATGTAAATAACTGAAATTAACACAAGTAACACCACTAATATATTACATTCACTAGTCAAATTGAAAATACAACACGTAAAAGAAAGAAATGAAAGAAATTACATTAACACGACAAACGGCTACAATAACGACAGGATAACGGGAAACTACAGGGAACGAAACATCAAAATACAGATAGACAACGCAGCCAGCATTCTATCACACCAATGCCAGTTAAGAGGAGCCCTTGTTTCTTGGCACAAACTTGCACATCCATATGTGCTTTCTGTTGATTGTAAAATTGGCCTTCTCCGTACCATCGAGAATTTCCTGAACGAACGAGGCTTTAAGGAACACGACTCGAGCATAAAGTGGTTGCTCATAAGGCCAAACCTCCTGCATTCTGAAGGACTCTATGCAATTCCCATAGACCGTTGTGAAGAAGTGCCTAACTTCCATTTCAGCCACAGGATAACCCCTAGAAAATGTTGCAAACATAGTCCTGTCCTCTCGTGGTACCTCGTTTATGAGTTGATAATTTCTCGGGAATGCATTCCTTCCAACTCTCATGTTAGAGAAGTTATGGATCATCGACTCGTGGAAATGACGTGACATCATCATTTCGTTCAACCCAGATCTTCATCTAAGATTGAATGGCATCACAGTAGGATTTGATAAAGATCTTCGAGCCTCATTCGATGGAATCATCATCTGGCTATATCCTGAACTTGGCCCACCATTGAATGGCATGACAATGGGATTTGATAAATAGC